CAATGGGCCTGTAACATATACATAACACAGCAACTTCTGAATGCAAGATGACAATGTTACAATAATAAATCTTCAGCATTCAGGAACTTTGCTATTTACCATAATTAGTTGGCACTTTTTAAACGAGGGAGAGAGAGGCAAAGCCGATAATGAAATTAAATCTGAAGGAGCAGCTGCAAAAACATGTGGGGACTCCGCTGATTATGTCAGATAATCAATTCCGCAAGTTGGTCCATTGAAAAAATAAAGTTATTCCAAAATTTAAAAGCCTTAGGATAATTGCAAATCACCCCACCGAAAATATGTATTACCAATTCCATCAAACTGAGATTCTTCTGGAATGCCAGCGATGACTGATTTACACAGTAGAAGCCCTCTTACTTGAAACTGGCTGGCTACGTGAAAAGGCTTAAGAAAGGAGGAAATAATAATGGTGAGTCATCTACACCATGAAGCTATTACCTGAACGTGAGGCTAAGGGCTTAATCAACCTCCTTGCTGCTCTTTGAGCTTGTATCCACGTGGGATTGGATCTTCTTACACTGTGTTCACTTAGGGGGTACAGTCTATGCTTTCCAACTTTGGTGTCATGTGTCATTTCTTAAAAAAGATGACCAAACAGTGCAGTAGAGGGGATGGAAACAGGAACACAGTATAATGCTGAGTGCATATAAAAATGCCATAATAAAGCTAATCGTTTTGTCTGCCTACAAATTAAACAAATATAAATAAAAACAAGCGGAAAAATAGCAGAAAAAAATGGACTCAGAGTTTGTCACTTTCAAGGTACCGAGCACCCCAATGTTTGGTGTGTTCACAGCGTGTATTTTTAGTAAAAGATAGTTGTGTGTAACTTTATTTAACAGTAAATTTCCGGTGATCTGCCCTCATTTTCTTGTCGAATGCAAAGCCCTCAGGCTAAGCCTTATCGGATTCACTTTTTCTTTGCCCTTACATTTCACCAGTTTGTGTCACAACTATTAAATCGTTCTATGATTAACCAAAAGCATAGCTGACGGGCACACAGGGACACAGAGCTCTGGCCGGCTTTTCTCTGTTGCCTCCTACCTCCCCAGGAGGCAGAGCCAGGCCAATGTCTAACATGTAAAAGACATTCATTGTTAATTGAACACGTGGTGGCACCTCATTTCCTTGTCTTATTGATGACAGGACAAGAGGGAGCAAAGAGTTCACAGTCATATCCAACCTGTGGTATGTGGGCCACGTGTACCCCAGGATAGCTGTAAATGTGGTCTACCACAAAATTATACACTTACTTAAAATGTTACAAGGGTTCTCTCTCTCTCTCTCTCTCTCTCTCTCTCTCTCTCTCTCTCTCTCTCTCTCTCTCCCCTTCTCTCCTCTCTCTCTCACTTTTTGTAATGTAGTTTCACAGCTTTCCAGAATGAACGTTGACAATGTATTCTTTCAATGTCCAAAGGTTGGACATAACACTATGCTAGAAAGGAGTTCATCACCACCACCTCTACAGGTTATGAGGCTCAGTCTGTGATTTTTCTCAGAAAGAATGGGGATTCTGGTCTTACAGTAAGTCAGTTACATGGTGGTGCCGAAGAGTGAATCCACTCTACTTTGATTAAACATCTGGCTTGGCAAAACCTCTTTCTTGCTGCCTGCAGAAAACTGGGCATGCCTTCCAACTTCCCTCTAGGAATTAACTACCTTCCTCCATGTTGACCTGTAACTAATTTAACTCCCCATTGTCCAGAGAAGCCTTGTGAACATCTGAAGCTGTCTGTGGGGGCCCAGCTCCTGAAGGGTGATTAGTAACATGTTCTCTTTAGTGTTCCTTGGGACATTTGGAATCAATTAAATATTCAAATATAGATTTTTCTTAGATCTCTGGCCAGGCCCAGCAGGTTTGTGTGGGGAAGGAGTTGGAAGCAGATAACTGCTATTCCTCACACCAGAATCTATAGCTGGAGATAGATTTAAAAATATACTCTGCAGACCTCCTGGGTCTTCGAGCAAATAATCATACAAGATTAAAAATCATATAGAAAAACAGAAGCAGCTCCCTACCGAAGGAGTTGTTGTTATTACAACCACTGCAGAAAGATGAACTGTATGTGAATGTACCAGGCTTGGAAGATGGCACTAGTTGTTGAAGTGCGATAGAATGTTCTCAACTAGCTGAGAACGGTTTTTTACAATTTTATAATATTAGAGCAAAAACAAAATATGTAAAAATATGTAACATGGATTGGCAATGAGGCACCAAACCTTAAATATGCACATCTAGCCTTTTACCAAAACAGGCTACTGATTCATGGTTTAGAGTCCATGATATACTCAGCTAACCATCTCTATCACTGATTGTTAGTACTGTTACTGTCACTGTTAGGAATGTTTTGAAATAGAGGTGGATGCGTGTCTATGTTATCATTTTATGAAACGCTTGATGCTCTCTGTCACGGTAATTCATTGACCAGTCCTTTAAAGTAGGTAGTTGTCAGCCAGGAAAATAGTTCAGTGCTTGCTACAGATGCCTGCTGACCTGAGCTTGATCTCCAGAACCAGGGGCAAGGTGGAAGGAGACAGCAGACTCCACAGACTTGTTCTATCCCCTTCCTATATACACTGTGACACAGGCACATATGCGCTTTCTCTCATACATAACAATGAACTTTAAAGTGTACATTCTTTTTTGGTTTTTCGAGACAGGGTTTCTCTGTGTAGCTTTGCGCCTTTCCTGGAACTCATTTTGGAGACCAGGCTGGCCTCGAACTCACAGAGATCCACCTGCCTCTGCCTCCCAAGTGCTGGGATTAAAGGCGTGTGCCACCACCGCCCGGCATAAAGTGTACATTCTATCTAACACCAGAGCTAGGAAAACAATGTTTTAGAATAGTTAAATAATTTCCCATGATCATTGGGAGAGTTACGTTGGGAAGTGATTAATTAAAGCCAATGTGGTATGCTAAGAAAGGAACCTTTCCCAGTTAAATGGTAGTTAGGAACCCCACTAGATTAAGTAGTATGAGTGATGCTGAAACAACAGGCCAATGAGTATGTTGTTTACAGGACCAAACTGCTTGAATGAAGTCCGTTTCAAAACAAACAAAAGTCAAGGATCAGGATGGAAAAATGGGTTTCACCTCACTTATTCCATTACCTGGCCCAGGCTTACTCTAGCAGTATTTGCTGAGTATCAAAGCAATAGAACTGTTTCCCTTATTCTTTTGCTCGGTGGAATGTCAGAAGTGAGTTATGGCAGAAAGAACGAACAGGAACAATTTTCCAATCCTAACTGGTCAGGCTAGTGTTGTGGGTCCTTGATTCCATCAGCCACAGTAGTGGGAAAGACATCTTCCAAATGGCAGCTCATTTTACCGTAATAGTTGGTGTTTGCAGATAAGTTATTTTTGCCATCACTATAAATTAATATAACTATTTTTATTGTGGTGCCACAAACAAGAACTCTGAAAGGCTCAAAAGGGCCAAAGCATCAGGTATCAAAATACAGCCAGAAAAAGATGGTATTAAATGAAAAAGGGAGCTCCCTTTTAATGAAGCCGAGGTGTAGGACAGATTTATTAGTTTCTATTTTTCCAAGTTGCATTCTCGTGTACTTCCTGCCCATATTTCCAAGTTTAGCAGGTCTCTTTGGAGGACAACCTTCTAAAATACATTTCAAAGAGCTACATGCTGTAGCTCTGCCCACTGCACCCGCAGAGACACCTGTGACGAGAGGGCCATTGGTTGTACTCACAAGGCCATGCTCTAAAAGAAAGCAGACCTTTTGCATGATCTGCCAAGATCTTGCCAGTCTGGAAAAGAACCAGTATTTGTAACCAGACATGTCTTTAAAAATAGCAAGCGTTAGCTCTGCCCTAATGGTCATTAAACTAAGTGGAGTTGCCTCTCATTTGGTGTTTTCATTAATATTCTAAGGTGACAGGACAAAAAGAAATGAAGTTATTAAGTTGATACTTCTGATGTTAAAACACAGAAACCTACAAAATGCCTATTTGGGCTCAGTTATTTTTAAAAAACATTTTATATTTATTATATATTTATATTTATATACCTAATAAATAAAATACATATATGAAATATATTTATAATTTTATAAAACATATGTAATTATAAATATTTATATTTCATTTTTTGTTGCTCTTTTTCATTCATTCCATGTCGGCTACTACACTTTGATTCCTGAGGGAGAAAAACTTCCTTTGGATAATCCTTTTGAATTGTCTAACTGGACCTAGAGTCAATAATTAGTGCATTTTAAGCACAGCTACCAAAGTCAAAGGAAACAAAGCAAGAAGACAGAATTGTTTCTGCCCACGGGTACACCTGACAGACACAAGAAAGGTCGGTCGTGTCTTGAAACAGGGCTTTTCAGACTGAAGGAACATGAAGAGATGATCTGAAGGAAGGGAATGAACGACCCTTCTATATTCAGGGCTGATCCCTGCAGGTGGACAGTCTAAGAGGGTAGTCACCAGACATTTCCCTGTTTCAATAAGATTATAAGTTCACTTCTCAATGATATTTCATGTACTCTGTTTCCACATGTCTAGTCCACTCTATTGGGCTGTGGTGGATAGAGTTCTTTCCACTCAACAGGACTTGTGGACAGTTTGTGGAGTGTCTCCAGCATGTATTACAGAGCTGTCCCTTTGGGGGATTTCAGCCCTATATCACTGCTATATTTATATACTCAACATTGATGTTTGAGTAAAAGACTTCTTTGAATAAAGAATTCTACAGCTGGAAAAGGAAAACAAAACAAAACAAAACACCTTAAAACAACAAAAAGAGGCTAAGAAAACTTAACTGTATGGTTAACTGGAAAACCATCACGGGTTTGGAAGTGCGTCAGGACACCAAGTCACAGATTGGAGTTTTATAAAAATAAATTTTCAGAGCAGTCGGCAGGAAGAACATGGGTACAGCAGACCAAGAAAGGCCAATGAGGACAAACTATTGGACTGCATTCAGATACTTCTAAAGAAATGCACACCGAGGAATCTGCATATACATTTATTCCAAGTGATAATTTATGTGCACACACTAGGCACAGTTTTTCCACAAAACAAGCACTGAAGTAAAAATTCTTAACATTTTTGCTATGAAACTCAAAAGGTTTTTAAAACTCTCAAGATATATTTTAAATTGCCAGTATCTTTAGTATTTGTAATTTATGATTGCCCAATTATAATTTTTGATATCAAAACAGAAATGTGTTGCTCATTCTAGTTATTTAAAACATCTTTGCTTGAACTTTGTATTAGTCCACATACCTCCAGTGCCCTTCAAATATCCATGAGTACCTCTCAGCAGTATTATTGTAAAACCCAAACTGTTTCCAAGTAGCACACGCTCACAACATGCTGCTCCTGACTAAGGATGTAATGGATAGTCTTAGAAATAGCCCTTTTATCTTTACTCTTATTTCAAAATGCCAACCATCACTTCACTGATATCCCACAGTTTCCTCGCTACTGACTCATCCATAGCTTTGGGCAATAGTTCTTCCTCCTTACAATCTCCAAAGTACCTTCCGGACACACCTTCTACCTCAGGTGAAGAAGCTAAGTAGATGGAGGTCTGGGCACCTTCCAGTGGAGTTTTGAAAAAAGCCCAGGAGACCAAATTGAAAAGTGGTCTGGCCAGCAGTGGAATGTGTATGTGCCTCCCGAGGTTTGTCCGCACAATACCAGGATGCAGTACATTGACAGTCACGTTTGTGCCTTCTAAGCGGCGGGCTAGTTCTCTGGTGAAAAGGATGTTAGCCAGTTTGCTTCGACTATAGCAGAAGCTTTTATTATAGCTCTGTTCACTGTTCAAGTCTTCAAAGTTGATGTCTCCGTATTTATAAAGTTTGGAAGAAACGACCACAATCCTGCTGGGAGCTGAACTTTTGAGGAGTCCAAGCAGAAGATTGGTGAGTAGGAAGTGGCCCAGATGGTTCACTCCAAACTGCATCTCAAACCCATCTTCCGTCTTCATGTATGGGCACTGGAAGATCCCTGCATTATTGATCAGGACGTCTAGCCTGGGCTCCTCCTTTAAAACCAGGGAGAGAATGCAGAGTTATGAATACACATTTTCCATAGCTCTTTTCATTCATGTATGTTTTACTAACAATGAAAAGAATTTGTGACTAAAACTAATCTCAAGTTTTAGCCCATGTATCCAGTCATTATTTGAGGCAGTGTCAATTTTGGGTTTTTTACAACTTAAGGATTATGACTATGTATACTCTTACATTTCACTCAGATGTTGATTATATAATTATCAAAGTCTTTCCTAAAACAGAAATACAGCAAATCTGGGGATGAGGGACTCCTAGGATCCTATGTCTTCCCTTAATTTCAGTTGAACTAGAAAAATACCAATTTTTGGCATTATCATATTAAATTTATAATGTGTCTCTGTGATAAACTTTAAAAACGCTTGTAAAACATGAAAAAATATACTTTTAAAGCAATGATGCATGATTAGGAGGGGCCTGTTTGATCCCTTTCTCAAATAATCTTATCTACTCCTAATGTTCTAAGTTCAAGGCAGACCCAGGTGACTTGGTCAATGTCACCAAGCTCCTAAGAGGCAAGTCAGAATCAGTCTGAAGATGAAATCTTTGGACTCCAAAGCCCATTCTCACAATTAGTAACCTAGCCTGGTCTTCTAACTGGGCTGTTTAAAACAGAGCTTGAGTCAAGGTGAGCAAGGCAGACCATATCCGACAAAGGGCTGGTATTGTGGCTCCCACCTTACCGGTAACATCATCAATGGTAAATTAGGACTCTGCGGTCCTAGTACGTGTAAAATGTCACCACAGGGACAGAATAACTTGAGGGCACTTCCCCAGAATTAGGACAAAGAAAAGCCAGAGATGTAAACTTTTCACTAGAGCGAATATTGTTAATAAATCAAGAAAGAAAAGTTAATAAAATCACTGAGTGGGTAACATAAAAGCATTAGTAACAACACAGTGACTGTTACAGGAGTCTCAATTGTACAGGAGAAAAAAGAAAGAGCATCAACAGGCACCATTAACCTTCACGGTGATTTCAGAACTTGGCCCATTCTTCTCTGTTTGAAATATCTTCCAAGCATCATATACCTCCCTATCTTCCCCAATTTAAGTCCTAAATTGTACTGTTCGCACAGGGAGCCTTTTCATTCCTGACATCATTTAAGTTGGTTTTCATTGGCTCTTTCCTAGCTCCTCTGTCTCTTCTGATGACAGAGGAAAAGAAATGCACAATATGTTCCAGGTGTAAAGACACAGCGATGACCCATGATTAAATTAATTTCAGGTCGAATTTCCACTCTCTCTCTCTCTTTTATTTTTTTTGCCAAGTGCAAGTGAAAGAAAAATGTGTTACATTTCACAACTGTTATCAAAGGCTACCTGTCGGGTTAACTGTTTCTCCTGCTGGCCAGCGGAAAAACTTGCATGTTTTCCACCAGCCAACTTCAAAAGGAGGATGTGAGTTCACAGATACCGGGAAGGAAGGAGTGTCATCGTCACTAATCTTCTGGAAAGGTTTCCAGAATCAATCATTTCTGAACTATCATTCTTTGTGGGGGTTTGTGTTAAGACTTTATCATTTACTTTTTTTTTAATTCTAGGAGATAAATGGCATAAATTCCAAGAATACCAAACAGTAGAATGTCAAAACTTCTATTTCTTTTCCCTTCTAATTATAATCACTAAATTTCAGAGCCAAGCAATGACGTAAGTACTTAGGATAACACAACTTAGTTACCTCGTTGTGCTCTGACTGAAGCAGCAATGGTATCAGGAAGGAGCAGGCTCAACCCTGTTCACAGGTCAGTGAGACAGGATGACCTGCTGTCCATGCTTCCAAAACCTCTCAAGACTACTATTGCCACTTGATCAGCTACATGCCAATGACATGCTAATAACAAGAGTTTCTTTGAGCTGCACCAGCTCCTACTATGCAACACGATGCCGCAGAACACAAGAGCCTGCTGTGCAAGAGCTCAAGTTTGGAGGGAACCAGTGAGACTCTCCACTCACTATCTCAAAACCACCTCCAAGTGGTTCAACATGGGCTGTGTTCTCATGAGGCGGTTTCTTTGTATAGCTGTGCTTTGAGCAGTTATTAACAGCTAGGGTCTTAAAAGCAAGTGCAAAAGCTAAAAGGAATCTATGTAGAACAAGAACGAGAGCTGGGCGGTGGTGGCGCAGCCTTTAATCTCAGCACTTGGGAGGCAGAGGCAGGTGGATCTCTGTGAGTTCGAGGCCAGCCTGGGCTACAGAGTGAGTTCCAGGAAAGGTGCAAAGCTACACAGAGAAACCCTGTCCAAACAAACAAACAAACAAACAAACAAAAAGGAACACAAATGAGAGTGGGCTGTGTCCAGTCTGACTTGGAGATTGGAAAAGTAGTTACTACAGGGACCAACAGGCACCCTGTTCCACTAATAATTATGGCTACCTAAGAGTTAAATAAGATACTTCTTTTTGAATGATGTCTATCACTGGACAGTTATGGAATTGTTAGGACACTCAGGCTTAGATGTAACTGCTAACAAATGAACTTGCAGATATTTCTTTTGATCGAAGTATCTTAAGATTAGTATACGCCTGCGGACCAAGGGCCTTTTGATCACGGGGGTGGGGGGTGGGGGGGTGGGAGTCACTTATAACTTCAGCTTTAGATTCAAGAGATTCCAACTGTGACAAGTAGTCTCCCTGTACCTAGCTGGCTTTAGATCTACCTCTGGCAAGTCACTTCGGCCACAGTCTTTCTACTTCAGTGGTGCATGTACCACCCACGCCTCAGCCATCAAGCACCAGGAATACAGGAGATTAAAAGCAAAGCCTTGAAGACAGACATGTTACTGAACCTTCCTGCACTTCAGTTCCCGAATATGGAGACATTAATGCTTGCTTTACAAGAGGCACAGTCAGGATCTGACAACAGCCAATGAACTTTTTCCATCATTGAAAAAGATGCCTGGCACATCTCCTGTCACACACCGAACCTTCCATAAAGTTAGGCATATGCTTTTTATTCCTGTCCCTCTTTGGGCTATTACTAGGATTCCAAATTCCATTCTCTTTAGACACGGGGTAGAATCGAGTATGGGGATGATGCAAAGGTGTCAATCAGCAAGTGACACTCCCTCCTACTTCAGCAGGACAAAACAAAAAACAAAACCAGGAAATGGAAACCAGAAAAAAGAAAAGAAAGTTTAACGATGGGCCTAATCAAAGTTCTTGGCTAGCTTTTCTCCCCAGCAGGGCTCTCGGGCCTTGTGACAGCAAGTTAAGATCTGGCCCACATTTCACTTCTGACCCAGGGGAAACAATTCCAAGATCAGGTGGTGATGATTCCTGGACTTGTCCTCGCCTAACACAATGAAATGTCCAGGCACGGGCTTAGTTATTCACTTCTTCTGGGGGGACCTCCCAGGAATTCCTCCTCGGGCCTGCCCCTCCTCCCAGCAGGGTCCCAGGCAGGCAGGCAGGTGTCCTAGTCCTGACCACGCTCAAGGTCACACCAGGCCTCGGGGGCCCCTCCCCCGCGGGTGGCGGGGCTCCATTAGACCCACACCTGCAGCAGCTCTTGGCAGAAGGCTCGCACTGAACGTAGAGAGGCCAGGTCCAGCTCCTTGACGACCAGCTGGCCTTCGGTGGTGGCGTCGGGCTCAGGACCCGCAGCCTGGCCGAGCTCCCGGCGGAGCTGACCCGCCGCCTCCTCCGCTCTCGCGCGGTCCCGACACCCCATGATGACCCGCGCCCCCAGGCGCAGCAGCTCGGCGGCTGTGGCCCGGCCCAGGCCGCTGTTTGCCCCGGTGATCAGCACGGTCTTCCCGTGCATGAGGCTCCGGTCCCCGCCTCCCTGCAGCCGCCGGCCTCTGGGCCCCGAGAACCGCCGCGCCGCCAGCCACAGCGCCCCACCCAGTGCGGCCAGGAGCGCTGCGGCCACAGTAGCCACTGCCATAGCCTTCCGGGCAGGGCGCACGAGGCCTGGAGCACAGGTTCCGGAGACCCGGGGGCCACTGCGCGCGAAGGACTCTGGGGCTCCGCCTGCTGTCCCGGGCTAGTGCGCGCGGGGCTTGCTGGGATTTGTAGTTTCCTTCCTGACGGCAACTTGAAGTCGAGCTCATCACAGAAACTACCCTGTGGAAACCACCGGTGGGTTTATAGATAAAGAAGTGGACCGTGTTAAAATTGGTATACGCCTGCGGACAAAGGGCCATTTCTTATCTTCGTTTTGTTAAAAGGCTCGCCACACGGAACTGACAAAGGACGCAAGCCCTATTTCCAATAGTGTTTCTTCTACCTTGCCTGTTCCGGGTGATAATTCATTCGGCCTGCTAACGTTAAAAAAAATGAGCAATGTTTTTTTGGAAATTAAGCTGCTTGTGGGATAACTTAAATATGAAAGTTCTAAACTTATCTTAAAGAGCCACCATTATGACTTACACATATAGGTGCGATGAGATTCGATGTCCTTAGCTTACAGAAAAGTAGCTTGACCATAGCAGCTTGACAGTTCAAAATGTTTTACAACATCAAGAAAGAAAGACATTTCGAGGGAAGGAAGGAAGGAAGGAAGGAAGGAAGGAAGGAAGGAAGGAAGGAAGGAAGGAAG